TGCCAGCAGGTCGAGGGAGGTGATCCTCCCCCTCTCCTCGGCCCTGGTGAGGCCACAGCTGGAGTACTGTGTCCAGTTCCGGGCTCCCCAATACAAGAGCGACAGCGGAGCTCCTGGAGTGAGTCCAGCGAAGGGCTACTAAGATGATCAAGCCACTGGAGCATCTCTCCTATGAGGGAAGGCTGAGAGAGCTGGGCCTGTTCAGCCTGGAAAAGAGAAGACTGAGGGGGGAATCTGATCATGTGTATATACATCTCATGGGAGGGTGTCAAGAGGATGGGGCCAGCCTCTTCTCAATGGTGACCAGTGATAGGACGAGAGGCAACGGGCAGAAACTGAAACACAGGAAGGTCCAGCTGAACATGAGGAAAAACTTCTTTCCTGTGAGGGTGACTGAGCCCTGGACCAGGTTGCCCAGAGAGGTTGTGGCGTCTCCTTCGCTGGAGATATTCAAAAGGCGTCTGGACACGATCCTGGGCAATGTGCTGTAGGTGACCCTGCTTGAGCAGGGGGGTTGGACTAGACGATCTCCAGAGGTCCCTTCCAACCTCTACCATTCTGTGATTCTGTGAAAGGCAACTGAGAATGGGATAAACTGTATATAACCTTGCTCTTACTCTCATCCTGTAGCAGTTTTTAAACACTTCCAGAGTATTCGAAGCCTCCTCAGTCCTAGCTGACCAGCCTACAACCTTCCAAAGTCGAGGCCAAATCTTTACATCAGGCATGGTTAGAACCATTAATCTCTCCCTCATTTTCATATTTACTTCTATATACAGAAGCTGTAGTAACATAAAGATAACAGTCAAGCAAAAAAGATTATAATACGTTGAACGTACTTACCTCAGTAATTTTATTTGTTCAAAATTCTGATCTCAACAGTAAAATAGCACACAGTTTGAAATATGATAAAAACCAAAGATGTTAACAAAACAAATTTCTACCTCCATTCACAGCATGAGCAAAATTTTGTCTACTCCATAACTAGATCAAATTTAGCTTCTGAGCCTTACCACATTATCTGGCAGCTTGTATCCAGGGAGATATTTTACATTTTCATGTTCATTATTTATGATATCCGTCAGTTTTTTCCCATTAATATTCTCCTCAAACACCCACATCTTCACTGTAGAAGCAAACTTCTGCAATTTTTTTACATTATTGCCTATTATTTTGGCAACCGCAGAACCCCTGCAGAAAAGAAAACAACAAAACACATATTCTTAAAAAAAAAATTTGTTCTAGAAGAAATTGTCTTTAAGATAAACAGAAATCCACAGGTTACTGGATCAATTACTATTTAGCTTTTCTGATCTAGTAAAAAGAATGGAAAAAACACACCAGTTATTCACATCTGCTCCTTTCTCTCAAAGAAATACATCTAGAATGCATTGGACTGAAACACTTACTGAAAACCTCCTCACTAATTTTGTCTGCTTACTAGCTAGCCAGTGAGAATTTGGGTAATTTTATTGGCACAAATGAAATGGATTATATTTTCAATGCAGTGGCAAAAGTTACATATTATTATTTAATTCTTAGTTCCTAAATTCAATTTAAAAAAAGAAATTGATTCTTTTCACCTTTGACAAAGAGGAAGCTTTCTTTGCTAAGATGCCTAACCCATCAATTTCTGCAAAATATTCATAGGCATTTAAAGCCAGGAAGCATTTACATCTTGCATAAATTGTAAGATTTATGGTCACGTTGCCAATCTCAGAGAATTTAAGTGTTGCAATGGCATCCTCTGAATTTGCAGGCAGACAATGCCATTAGCCTAATTTTCTCCCCAAGAACAGCACAGTGAAGCTTGTAGGATTGTTATCAATTTTACTTGTCCTACTGAAATCGCTAAGCAACAGTGAAATTACTCAGAATTACTGAAGCTACACACAAGAAGAATAAATACAGCTTTCCATTCCAGTAGCCTGGATGCTAAAGACAAGAAAAAGATGCAATTTAATAAAGCCTATTAATCTAACTTCCTTTCCTGGGTTCAGAAAAAGGCTTCATAACGACTGATAATCTACTAAGCAGACCAAAAAGATTAGAAAGATATGATAAAGATATGCAGAGTCACTGACGTGAGGTTTACCCATTTCTGCGTATTTCCTCACTTCTCTCTGCCATTACAACTTTTGATACTATGACTTTCTAGTACTTGGTATGTGAAGAGCAAGAGGGGAAAACGCTGCACACACTACGAGAAGGTAAGAGAGCTTTAACTTTACAAATCTAGCTACACACAGAACACGCCTCTAAATTTATTAAGGACATTGCTTGTAATAAACTTATAGCTGGCAAGTAAACCAAGTAGATTCATTTTTCCCTAAGCTTTTCATATGGCACAACTCATTGTGCTATATTAAAAATACATGCAATCACAAGCCTTTCTAAGGTCACTTTCTAAGTAGTGGCAGAAAAATGTATGCTGTCTGAAGTATATCTTCAGCTAAACCATAAAAACAGCATGTTTTAGAAGACTACAATTTTTTTCACTAACTGCACTGCACACACTACAAAGCTCCCTAGGTTGTGGAGGTGATACAGAAGCCTCAGTTGTTTTTCAGAATAAACACCTTGGTCACAACCAATGCAACCTGGAAAACACCCAAGCAACTCCCCCTCAAACTCATTTCTTCACAAAGTTGAAAGAGGAAACAAAGCAACTGAACCTAGATACAAAATACATTTTGGCCATTAGATTACATCTCTGCCCATCCACCAAGCTGTGTGAACAGATCCCGTGGGCACTTTGGGCCTAAGAGGTTACTTTGAACAACCTTAGTTTACTAAGCCACAGTAAGTTGGTCATCTCTTATCAAATTCATATTCTAGACCCCCACGTGCACACACTGTGGTTTCCCCTGCAGTGGTGGATAGCTCACCGGTTCAATCTGCCAGATTTCAGATCTGCACAAATGCAAAGTATTTTATTCACCACATCACAGAGGCGCATTCTGCAGAAAGTGTTTTGAGTTCACTGAACAAAAGGCAAATTCACTACTGCAGATTTACATACAAATGTAAAGTCTGGATTCTGGAAAATCACTATCTCAGCTTTTGAACTTCACTAAGCATTTTGTATGCTTAGGGTCGATAGCGAAAGATAGAAATAACTGATTCAGTAACTGTCCAGTTGAGATTTTCAAATGATGTGTCATCATAAAGTTTAACAGTGTTTATTTCTTAAACAAGACATTCATTCTATTACCACTTAATACTAAAATGTCTCAGTTGTTTCTTTTCAGTCTTAATTAATTATTATTATTTTTTTTAAAGTAAAGAATTGGCTAGTCTTAGCCCCTGAAGATTCTCCAGATTAACTTCTCTGGTTCTCCATTTCATTTTATGTTGCAAGAACTGCTGCAGGAGTGATTTAAACAGTCAAACAATTGAGTCCAAACTCTGAGTCAAAACACTGAGTCCAAGACTGCTCTGAGCAAGGTGACATATCAGCTCCCTACACCTGCTAATCCAACAAACAAGCCTATGCTCTTTTCTGCATCCCAGAACTCCTCAGCACTTAATCTAGAATCATTTAGTGGGATTTCTGGTTCATCTTGTAGTATACTCCTGCCACACCTCAATGCAAAAGAACTGGAACTCTTGCCAGTTTGTTTCTAGCAGTAACAGTTCTAGCGTGAGCTGGATTGTATAGTTGGTGCCTGCAGCAGCTCAGTTATACAAGAAAAAACAGAGTGGCATTCTCTCTTAACTAACCCTAACATGCTCCAAGTGAAAGTAAATGCTATTCAAGTCATGTAACAAGGTAGTTCTGTGCCAAACAGCTGTTCTGTTCCTTGCTGCAAGTACCAAAGGTATGCCCAAATACAATCACATATCCATAATTAACACACTGTTGGAGAACCGTATTTGAAGCTTACTGAGCAAGACAATGCACTTTGCCTCCTGCCCCTCACTGTTCACCAACTACTATTCACCTACACCAACCATGTATCGCAGTTGAGCTGCTTTCCCCTCACTTGAAAGGTGAAACACAAGCCCCAGAAACTCAACTCACTGTGACACCAGCATCAGTGGAGGCAACAATATACAAGTGCAACCAGCACCAACAGCTCCAGCCTTGCCACTTTTTCCTTTAAAATCACCTCAGCTAAGCCACAAGCTTTACCCCTCACTTTTCTCTAGCAGGATCCTAGCCCTGTGAACCCCTCTGTCCTAACATCTTCCCCTCTCTTCCCAAACTCTATAGTTCAAGTTGAGCAATCAGATTAAGGACTGCTTCTAGCAAAACATACAGGGAAAAAACTGGCCATGCACTCTTTGTTAATTTGTTATGAAAATATGTTCAGAAGAATAGGCTATGGTACGTCTCTGAGCCAATGATTGCAATGTTCAACCTGAATGTAATGTTCAAACTGAATGTAGGCACTGCCCTTGAATCCTGAGGCTTCAAGGCATATCCCCCAAGTGTACCCTCTTCACGCCTTAAAGATTTTAATACCATCACTTATCCACCAGATTGCTGGAGGTATGCTTTTGGGACAACAAGATGAGCAACTACAGATGAACAAAAAGAGCAAAAAAAGCACAGCTCCTGCTCTTCTGCGACTTCTGAGCCATCTGTCCTGTCCCGTGATCATCCATGAGGTGTTAAGAGACCCCTGCCAAGTCACTTCATTGTTAAGGTGACCTTCCCCCTAGCAAACCAACCAGACAAGTTTGACTGGAGGTGGTTTATCATCTGAAAAGATTAGCACAGCCGTTCTAAACTGTCCTTTTCATGCCAAGCTCCTTTAGCATGTTTTTTTTTGTCTGTGATATAGGTTAAAGAGCTGTAATAAAACAAAGACACTCGCACTGTTACTGGGAACACAAGAGTCTCCTGCAGAGAACAGAGAGCCTCCAAACTGCTAAATACGCCAAGTCCCACTCAGTTCAACTAGTTACATGCTTACAACTTAGGCATTCCCCGTTGTACTCCTGAAATCCAGGCTTCAAAAATATGTAACTTGAAAATACCAAATATAAGATGCATATAACTGCTTCAATTTCTGTCTAATTCCATGCTTTTGAACCTTAAAGGCTTCTGCTTCAGGACCACAGGCCCCAACTGAATAAGGCACTTATGTGCACAGATATACTTAAGTCAAACCAAGCCCTGTGTAGTTCAACGGTTACATACATTCTTGAATCAGACTGCTCCTTCAGTCCGGGTCTGGTGTTTGTCATCCCTTGGACTTTGGGACACATCCACCTCTCCAATAATTGTTTTCTGAAACATTCAGTGGGGGAAGAAGGGGTGGTACAAACAAGGAAAGCTGTTGCACGTCAAATTGTGCCACACTGCTATCAAATATGAAATCAATTATCAGTTAAAGAAATTTATCCTAAAAAGAAAAGAAATGAAAAAGCTGATGGATTAATTTTTTTCAACATCACAGATACGGGCATTTTGCCATCCAAATATTCATGCCATTAGACAGGCGCTTTTCTTGTTATTAAACTGATCCGGTGAAGTGAAAACAAAACACATATGCACATAGTTAGAGCTAGTAGGCAACATCCATAAGTCTTCCTGCTTCTGGTAAGCTAGTTTCACAATGGCTCAACTACAAATGCAGTTAAACAATTGGTAGAACTTTTTGCTAGATTTCAAATACAGAAGAATGACATCAATACTCCTAAAAAACTGACAGGTGTAACCACATAACTTCATTTTGACATATATTGCAAAATGCACCACATCTCCCAGTTCACCTGGCAAACTAGAGCAAGGCAAGCAAGAGCTGCAGCACTGAAATAATATCAGCCATTCCTTCAATAAGGAAGAAAAACATAACTCTACAGTTGTTGATTTTTTTGAAGTATGCAAAATAGCACAAAAAGCCAATTGCACTTAGTAAGCATCAAGTCTAAGATCACTTTCACAAAAGGCTGTGAAGTTTTATTTAACAACCTGTAGTACCCTGCTCTGGGAACACCAAACTCCCCTAATGTTAGACTGAATGTGTGACATATTATGTCTACCTTACAAAACACATTGTTATCAGAAGTAATATATCCTTAGCATTAGTAATAAGGTGACAGACTGTGAAGAGACATTTACATAATACTTTGTACTTAACTTTTGCCTTGCAAACAAAGATCCAATGCAAAAATAATGAATGGGAATGATAGAGAAATTAAGAAAGTGGGACAAAGAAGGATTACGAACATGGTTCCGCTCTTCGGAAAATGATTGGGAAAACTATTCCTTCCAGCAGACACAACAGTGAGACCATAAGTTCATTTAAGTCTAATCATGAGCTAGCGGCAGATAAAATAAAACCTTGTCCCAAGCCTTCAGAGTGCCTCAGCATAATCTATTGAAAAAGAGGAGCTATTTCGAGTAGTGTCTTGCTACTCTTCTTGGAAAACAGCTAGTACAGGGGGAAAAAAAAAAAAACAAAAGACAAAATAATACATATGCTTTTCACTTTTAGAGGGTAGTGGGCTTGTTCAAGAAGCCCTACAGCAGCACTTAGCTAGCAACGACCTGCTGAAAAAGCGTTCGGTATCTTTAATGCCCATGCCAGCTGATATCAGACAAGTCACCCAACAAATACCAGGTTAAAAATATCCCAAAATAACTTCTGTACAGAAAAGACTGGTGCCTACAACACCGCCAAAACATAGTGCTCGGTTCTTTAAGCTTTCTAGCTCCACTGGCTTCAGGAAAGTGTCTCTGCTTCGGAGACAGAGCAGGGGGTGAAGAGGCAGGCTGAAAGGGCAAGCTCCGGCCGCTGCAGGCACCCCCGGGGCCACATCGGAGCGACACACGCCCCG